ACCCAAAAAATAGCGATACCTTCGAGAAAGGTGGTCAACCTCACACCCAGCCACCTTGAAATCCTAGCAGCCTCTCTAGCCCAATCCCCTCACAAGAAGGGCAATAGCCTATAGGTCGTCAAAACTAGTTCATCACAAGCCATAAAAAGCCTATAGGTCGTCAAAACTAGTTCATCACAAGCCATAAAACTCGCTCTACGCACCTGGTTAGACAAGCTCAATGACTGGCGTGACCACTAATATAGTCCCCACCCTAGCAGCAATCTGCCTTTCTGCTGTTATACAGGGCAGTGAACACAATGCCAACTTACCTTATCAAGTTGACTGTGCATAGCTCTGCAGGCTGCAAGGTGAACAAGCAGTGTCAAACAGCCTGGAGTAGCCGCGGAAAGCAGTCTACACAGATCAGAGATCATTGAGAAGAGTGCTGACTGCATTCAGGACAAAAGGCACCAGGGACTGCTGCCACCAGAAAGTTCCACAGCCCAAAGTATCGCCCCATGCAACAAACATCCCCTTCTGGAATCTGGGATGCTGCACAACGCAATGGTGGCGCAAAGCAGAAGCGACAGCATGCCCTCTACTTACCATCTCACGAGTAAAGCTCATGAAAGTTGGAGAGAGCAAAGTGAGTGCACAGGTGGAAATCAAGTGCCTTCACATTTTTCGGTACCGATAGAAAGCATAACATTCCCATGTCTGGATAGTGGCAGTCAGGGAAGTTCCAAGGATCCTGCAGAGCCCTCATCGCAGATCAGCAGTTAGAGGAAAGGAAAACGACAAATAAATCAGCACAGCAGTTGCAACAGTATGTCGAGATGCCCACAATGGACAGGCTCCATTTCCCATTCCAAGCAAGAAGTGAAGATCTGTGACATGAGCAACACAGAATCATGCCATTTCATGATAAAAGGAGTTGACGAAATGAACATCTGCAGTAGTCAGGACATCACTGTAAAAATTGGGTTCCACAGTTTTAACGGTTTTAACGGTTTTTAACCCCATACAATTGTACCATGCACTGACTGAGTGCATGGATATTCACATCAGAAGTACGCAGTTGGATGGAATGCAGGGCCGTGTCTGTGAGGCCAAATCCTCCTCCAGACCTGCAGCACAATTGTTGCCATTTTTCATGTACTACATGGTGTCCTTAGTGAAATTGACATGTCAAGCTGGTCACAAATCAAGCTCGCCAGTCCTTCGGGACATCCGTTAAAATTGGAACAATACAGAGAAGATCAGCATGGCCCCTGGGCAAGGATGACACGCATAAATCGAGAAATTGTCCAAATTAAATTATATTAAAAAAATAAAAAAAATCAAGCTCGCCTGCTTTCCTCCATACAGAATCAAACAAACAAGGAGTCATGGACTATATTGCCTCGAATCCCCTCTTTAGCTCTGACTAATCCCTATATAGCTCTGACTACATACCTGTTTAGCACTGACGATACCGCTGTTTAGCTCGAACCAATTGTTCGAATTCACTCTCGCTGAGGCCTATCATGCTAACGGTCAGTCTCTTAGCCCTCTCAACGATTGTCCACCATTGGGTTAATCTAAACTACATACCACACTGACAACAATTTCATAATGTTTGGCAGTGGTTGGTGGGCGGTCTGGTGAAAGTGGAGAGCGGGTCCCCCCTGAGTACATTTCTTTGTTTCTGGTACCGCTTCCCTCATGCCCTTGAATCCATCCCACTTGAAGCACCAGCACATGGCCCCAGCCAAGTTGAGAGTCCCATTGAGCCTCTCCTAAACTTTCGGAGGCTCGCGGGATATGGATAAAATAAATCGACGGCGGGCAGCCTCCGAAAGGGGCCTACGGCCAATGGCTGGCATGTACTGGTGGTTTAACCCTCAGCTTTACAGTTCGTTTTTTTACTCAGGTCACCTCTCACAGAAGGGGAAGTCCTGCGCTTAAACTTCGAGTGTGACCAAGTCCTTGTTCAGCCATGGCTGGAAATCCGTACTCGAGATAACCTGTTGCATTTGTGCCCTTGGCTGAGTTCATTCCGCTGCTTGATTCTCTTTCTTCTCTTCCTGACAAGACCAGCTCTGCAGTTGGAGTGATTGACGGCAACAATTCACAGGGGCTTCAGGACAGTAGAACTTCTATGACAAATTGCAGTAGATTGGGTGGCAAAGAGTAAACCTGAATGCCTCTGTTGCATGACCATCGTCTTTGTTGTGGATGCACTCAAGTCCCTTTTGCCCTCAAAACCATCTCACCCATCTACTGACAGTTCCACGTCCTTAATCCTTAAGCCACAAGTTCTCCCGAGCCTAAGCCGAGCTCTTACCCAGGGTAAGACCTTTTCAATCCGGCCTTGGGCCGGTAGTGAACGCAAAGGCCACTATGAAAAGTAACTTCACAGTTCCTCGTCTTCCTTAGGTCGGCTCTCGCAGAAGGTGAAGTATTGCACTTTTCCTGGATGTGCTCAAGTCCTTGTTCCACCCCATTGTTGACAATCTAAACTCAAGATAACCCGCTGTATTTCTCCCCTTGGTTGAGTTCGTTCAGCTGGTTAGTTGTCTGCCTTCTCCTCCTTACAAGAGCAGTTCTGAAGTTGGTGCAATTGAAGGCGACAATTCACCAGGGCTTCAGGACAGTAGTAGAACTTAGATGAAAAATTGACAAGAAGTGGGCGGCAAAGAGTAAACCTGAACGCCTTCGTGGTGTGACCGTCAATCATCTTTGTTATGCATATTTCACAACTTGATGGAAAAGGTGAAGCCACCAAACCACTCACTCACCCCAACCAGAACGGCCCTCCTTGCCAATAGAGCTGTACCACTTGCAGTCAGTGTCATATAGGACACCTTACAAGCTTGTCACACAGTGGCCGCTGCAATGTGCTCAGCAAGTTTGTCATACAGTGGCCGCTGCAATTGCTCAGCACTTGGCATCCACTCTGTTTTCGAAAAAATTGACACATTGCTGACCCAGTATAGCCTGCTAGCAAGGTGATCGCCCAATTCAAGGAACTGAAGTTACGAAGACCTCCCATTCCCCAAGCTGATATGAAGTTATGAACCCATCCATGGCCCCGAAGGAGGAAACAATAAAGCAACCCCATCCCAAGCCTCGAGACATTACAAACAAGCCTCAACACATTGAAAAAACAAAGGTATCAGAGGTTGCAAGAGACTACTGCTACCAATCCACAGAGCCTCGTACGTGTAGTGACTCACTCTCACAACAAGGCACATAACTTCAGGTTATCGGATAGAACCTAAAAGGAATAAAGTTCAATAAACAGTTGAGGTAACAATTCGATAGATCCCGTTCAAGAGTACCAATGTTGACACATCGCCAGCTAAGGTGGTTCTATGCCTCGGCCCTGTTCTGGAGCATCCACCTTAACCAAAGCCACGTTTGTGAAGAATCCACCATAGCCAAAGCCACGTTGCCACACAATTTGATCATCCTGGACACTAATGATTTGATTGCCCAGGCCACTAAGCCACGTTTCACGATTAGCTGCCCACTAAGAGGGAAGGTGCATAAACGCACGCATTCTCATAGCCAAAGCCACAATGTGACATAAGTTTTTCATCTTGGCCACTCGAGGCGAAAGGTGTCTGTCATGAAAGGTTCCATCCCTCCATTTTGCCTTCCAACAGCTAACAGATAAATCAGCAACCTACTGCTACATGCCCAGATCTTAACCCTTCTTCCTGCCTGGACCTGCCATCATCTCGCTGATCACTCCCGTCCGTCCACTAGCAGACAGATCAGCCTGCTGAACAGACTTGCAAGTGTTATCCAAGGCATCGCTGCATGACGTACTCAATTCATTTTCCTAACTTAAGTTAATACTCAAAAGAGTCAAAACACAAACCTACATGTGTCACACTGACAACGTCCAAACTTCAATCAATCAACATACACCTTAACGTTCATCTATAAAACAGGAAGCTTTCCAGTGCCATTGACTGTGTGCTGCAAACAAACGTTTGACAGCAGAACAGGGAAAACAACAGGTTGGCTTTGGCAATTACCCCACTTCAGGTATCCTAGACCACATTAGCATTACCCAGGGTTCTGTCTACTTGTCATGGCATGCCGACAAGCTAGGCATAGGCAAAAAAACTGATCAGAACATGCAGCTAATATCATTATTCATCTCACAAGCTGTCAATTATACGACCCTCTGTGCCAGTTAGATAGGGAGCCGCAGCAGGTTAGCCCACACACTACAACTTCTGATGATAGGGACACAACACTCATCTGCAAGCTGAAATGGCTGTCAAAATGACCACCCCCACCCACACAATCACCCATCAACAAATCGTGTCCTCTCTATGATTTGCAGGATCGCCGACTAACGAACCAGGACAATCAATCTGTGGCGTACCGGTGATGATGGCAGTTTACACTATAACAGCGACATCCAGATCCAGGCCTGTGTCCTGGACAGCTGCGCTGCTGAATAGAAGACTCGTAACTTTTGGTTGGGATGGCAACTGTCCGGCACTCGACAACTGATTAGCTTAACGCAGCCCCAGCCAAGTCACCTATCAAGTGTGCTCTCTAAACCAGGCAACAGTTCAGATACAAAATCAAATTGCACTAGCTTCTGGCCTCTTGAAAGGGGAAACAATATTTGGTTCTGTCTCAATGGCATTCTTTGCACATTGCCCACAGTACCATTTCAAGACGACAACTCTATTTCTTTTGTGGTGCCAGTACTTGGATGTGACTTGGGCAATAGGACTAGTCGAGCAGCAGACAGGACAGAGGAATATCAGAAGGGTCAGAGCCAGAGAGGCATTATCTCAACTGCTGGCCACTAATATGCTGGCCAGCATATGAATGGCTTTGTCCCGGGGAGGTGAGAATATGTTCAGGTCCCTCCAACACATTCTCAGTCCCGCCACCTCACAGGAGAAACCTCATCTCCACACACGAAAAAAAGTAACATCCCGTGCCAAGAACACATGAGAAGTCATCCATTCACAGATTATATTCATCAAATAACAGCAGCCTACCAAGAATATAATGAGTGCTGCAACCTCCCTCGCATAGCAGTCCAAGATACCCGATAGACGCATAGCTAATGCTGGTTTCGGTGGAGCAAATGAGAACCGCTTCGTGCAGACAGAACATCTGCAGTTCACAAGTACGAGTCAAATGCACGCACACAACTCACAGTCAGACCAGGTCTCCACACGCATGCGCACACAAGGAGAGAATACCAATGAAATATTAAATAGCCTATTTAATCAATCATAGGAGTAGAAAGAAAAGTTAGGAACTCTTTGCACATGCAGACACAAGGCATAGGACGGGAATTTTCAACACCACCCAGCGATCTTTCTTGCAGCTTGGGAAATAACTTGTCAAATAAATTGTCCCTCAGTGGAACTAAATCACAGCATGATTGGGAGTGAAACGGTTTTCACCTTTGCAGAGGCAGATGCAGATCCCAGGGTTTGATCCCCAGACCTTAGCTTACCCATGTACAGTATCGAGTTGACCCCTGAGTGTTGAACCCGTGACCTGTGTGTCGTTAGTTGTTTGTCTGTCATAAGGACTGTGTAGATGTAGCGATTCGATCTGTACGTCTGTCGGTAGGGGTCACAGCTCTGTAGAGGTCGTAGCTGTAGGTATTCTGAAAGGTCAAGGTCATAGCTGCTACAGTCCTGAAAGGTCAAGGTCGTAGCTGCTACACTACCTGAAAGGCCAAGTCCACAAACTTCCGGAAGTTCCGGAAGTGGCCTTTCGATGCGGTCTCACGTTTTAGTCAGAGGCAAGTGAGCAAGTGGTGAGCCCAACTGCATCACGTCCGCAGTGCGACTGCAGTGAGTTGGCAGTGCAAACTCATGCAGTCAGCGGTACTGGTCCAATCAGTCCCAGTCCAGTCCAGCAAGTACCATGAGGGACTGTGTGCACCATGGGCCGATGGAAAGAGGCAGACCAACGAGTTACAGAAGCATAAATCAAGAGGCAGCGCCCAGCCATTCATTCATTCCTGCCTGAGCCATGCAGAAGCGCTGCTACAGCGACTTGTGCGAGGTGGTCTGCAGTAGGCCCGAAGACGAAGTGGGCGAGAAGCAAGCGTAGCCATAGCGATAGGGTAGGGAGAGGCCATAGCCACCATAGCTGATAGGAGAGAGAGAGGGGCGTGTGCGAGTGTGCGAGTGTGCGAGTGTACAGTGGGTTGCGTGTGGGATATCCAGGGTGATCCAGAGTTGAAGTGTGAGCGAACAGTGGTGTTGGACACAGTGACG